GGTCTTACTATTGGCGTCAACATCGCCATTGGAACAACGTACGGCACAATAGTACACGCGCCTCCGTACAACTGGTCGGACAGTTCCGTATCATACGTCAACGCTGGGCAGATCGTTGTCGCCTTTGTGGCACTCCCACTCCTTGGTAACGGCAGCGATGTCATAATCAAGTGGCGAGCAAGACGCAATGGTGGAGTTCACGAACCTGAGAATCGCCTGTTGCTGCTCTGGATTCCCCTGCTATGTGGGTGCCTTGCCGCCACGTTGTACGGCCTGGCAGCGGAATCCCCAGGAGATTACCACTGGTTCGTCTTCGTCTTCGCCAATGCAGCGTATTACTTCGCGTTCGTTGGCGCCAACATCGCTGCAATCACGTACCTTCTTGACTCCTGTAAGTGTTTCCGGATGGACGGCATGTGAGACATACACTGACTTTACATATTTACATTTAGATCCAGCACGCGCTGGCCCTATTCTTGTCGTCATCACGGCTCTTCGAGGCTTCGTGTCTTTCGGCACCAGCTATGGTGTCGCCAGGTTCATCGAGACCGATGGCTACGACGGAACGTTCGGAACGTACGCCGGACTCACGGCACTCTTCGGTCTGTTTGGCATACCCGTCTTCCTGTATGGTAAGAAGATCAGGGCCTATACCGGCAAGTGGGCGATGAAGAAGGTGTCAGGCCACCCTTCGATGTCGCACTGAGAAGACAGTCTGTCGTATGCTCGTGTCACGTCGGCGGAAGATCTACGGAGATACCAGACAGATGAGTGCAGCTGCGTTGTATTGGTGTTGCAGCGAGACTGTTGTGTTGCTGTTTTGGCGTGGCTGGGGAAGCGCGTGCGTCCTAGTCTAATTCAGATATGTTTGAATGTGGATATCGCTCGTAAACCCCTTGATTGGCTTTCGAGCCGTGTCGTATCATGTTATGTGACTGCTTCTGCCTGATCAGTGATGATGGTGGCAGAGGTGGGCTGGCAACGTACACGGGCAGTCATGCCAACAACGTAGCATTAGCTTCAAGGTGCTGCATGTCCCTGGAAGGGCCCTTCAACGGCGGCCTGAGAAAGCCGGTAAGTTACGGTCGGTATGGATGGGTACCATGGCCTCGCATAGCAATGTCAGTGTCGGTGTTGGCTAGGTCTTCGTTGGTGATGGATGCGTTGACGCGTCATAGGCATTGTCGGCATCCAGTCGAGTCATTTGGACAGCAGCGCACTATAATCAGAACTCTGGATAGAATCTGGTGATCCTCTTCAGCGCCTTTATCTGGTTGTTGAGCCATGCCGTGATAGATGGGTGTCAGACGGGCACGTTGGGTAAGCTTCGTTGATGTCATAGTTTTTCATTTCAGCTAGCGAGAGAAAGCGGCCTAATCTGGACTAACGCGTCACGCTAGGCACGCGTACCAAATCAGGCGCGTTGGATGCTACTCATCCACCACCTCCCCTACCACCTTGGGCGCGCTCCAAAATCAAGCCACCCTCACACTTAGACTTCCGCCTTGATATACGGAATGCCAGTCAGCTTGAATATTCTCTCATCCATGATCGGCTTGTTCACCGGCTCGAACCGATTGTGCGGGTCGTCCACTCCGTCTCTTTTTGCAACGTTTGAGCCTGTGTGCCTCGCGTTTGGCCAGTGGGTCGTTCCCACCCAGCGCTCGTACGCATCCTTCTTCCTGCGCAAGTCCTCTTGAGTGGCATCTTCCACAGGCATGTAGCATGTGTAGATTGCAAAACGAGGCTGCTTCGTCTTGGAGCTCAGGTTGTAGTGAGGGGTGCGGGAGTCCCACACCAGCAGATCGCCGGGCTCTGCACACACCTTCACCCACTTCAGGCCTTTCTTCTCGAGCCACTTCATGCCATTCTCAGTGAAGCCATACCACTCTGGTGTCCACGCTGGAATGCGTTCCTCGTCCGCCATGTCTTTATGGAACTCGTCGGACAGCAGGTGTCCACCCGGACACACGATCAATCCGCCGTCTTCTGGCCCATTGGGGAGCAGATTCACCAAGCCTTGCAGACATCGGAATCCAGGTTTCAATGGGTCTTGGTCTTGGTGAGGCCACGGCTTGTTTGGTGCCAGGTCTGAGCGACTAGAGTGACTGTCAGCTTGTTCGAGGCATGGATGCGCCCAACATACGGCAATGTGAAGTTGATCGCATCAAACGACACGATCAAGTCCTCGGTATTGTAAACCTTCTCAAAGGCTCCTACAACGCCAGGCTCTCCTCGGATCGCCCAAGCAAAGTCTTCGTGGGTAACAGCATATTGAAGACACATGCCCTTTTCAGTTATCAACGGGAGCTTGTCTTTGTGGACCGTGGACAAGTCATTGCGGTCGTAGCCGAGGTTGCTGGAGAATGTGAGTGCTTTGCGATATCATGTTGGTGTCTGTACTTACAATCCTTCCAACCAGCTATACATCTTGTCTGCGTACTTGTCGGCCCTCTCCTTCGGAATTGCACCCTTGATGACTGCATAGCCATCTCTAGCCAGGTCGTCCCTCCAGTCTCCGAACGTCGTATCCGTGCCGTCCACTCTCATGCGCTGATCTTCGACGGCCTTCAGCGTAACCGACGCTGTCTTGGTTGCGGTGGAGATCATGTCGATGCGTATATTGGTCTTGGGGCAGTTTGCCGAATTGGATGAAACTTGATTGCTGTGTTGGGAAGACTGGCTTGGAGGTCATATTCCACATTCTTCTCACACAATATCTGAGCGCCTGTGCGATGTGCAGCCTTTGGCGTTGCCCACACGGGCCGAACGTGTGTGGGCCCACCTCTCCGAACCCCGATTACGACGACGGCGCGTGCGAAATGCACGAGCCTGAATACACATTGCGGGGATGTTGAGAGAAGATCTCGTAAAGTGGAGGGTAGGGATCAATTCCAGCAGGTCTCCCGTGCTAGGACGGCAAGAGGTTATCGATTATCAGGTAACCGCTTTCCCGGAATACCACCAGCATGTTTGATAAACCTTCGGCACGGCATTGTGATACTCCATCAACTTCTCTTTCTACACACCCACGACTGCGCTCACAATGTCATCGTCAACACCATTTCGGATCATCATTGTGGGCGGTGGCATCGCAGGACTGGCAGCAGCTATAGCCCTTCGGAAGGACAACCGACAGATTACGATCCTCGAACAATCTCGTCTCAGCGCAGAGATCGGCGCTACGATCTCACTACAACCCAACGCCACAAGGATTCTAGAACAGTCGTGGGGTTTGACAGATCTGCTCAACGGCTCGAACGGCACGGTCGACCACGGATTCAGGATCTACAATGCTGACGGCAAGATGGTGAATGAAATACCTCTACGGAGTAAGACGCAGTATGGCGCAGACCGCATCATGTGGCACCGCGAAGATCTCCACGCCTATCTCAAGAAGACAGCTACATCCATCGAACGGGACGGCCAGCCTGCAATACTGCGTACTTCGGCACGAGTATCTCGGTGTGACTGTGAAGAAGGCAAGGTCATACTTGAGAATGGTGAGCATTTGGAAGCAGACCTTGTCATTGGCGCAGACGGCATTCACAGTGCTCTACGTACTTCTATCCTCGGTCAAGAGGCCCATCCCAAACCCACAGGTTCCTCGGCATACCGGCTTATGCTACCGACTGCGATTTTGAATGAGCGCGCGCCACAATTCTCCGCAAACATCAACCCAGAGGAGCCCTATACTTCCATGATTATGGCACACTCCTGTCGACTCATCATGGGTCCTGCACGCGGCGGATCACTTTACAGTATTGTTGGACTGGTACCGGACGAGCAGATGAACGAGAATCCCGACAGAGCGCAGTCGTGGGTGACGAAAGGACACCCTGAAAAGATGTTGGAAACTTTCAAGGACTTCCCCAGCTGGACCAAAGATGCACTTCGGAATGCCGAAAGCATAGGTCTTTGGCAGCTGCGCGATTTGGATCCGCTAGATAAATGGCACTCTGGACGCGCGATTATCATTGGGGATGCCGCGCACGCTATGCTACCGACTCAAGGCCAAGGTGCAAGCCAAACCATTGAGGACGCCGAAGCTTTAGGAACGCTCTTCAGTCACATCATTGACAGGCCATCCAAGGACGAAGTGTCTTCGATCCTAGAAGACGTCTTCAAAAGTAGACACGAACGTGCAAGCTTGATACAGCGATTTAGCCGGGAAGCCGCGAAGCCTGCAACGGAACGAGGCAGCAATGTGATCAAAATGTGAGTGCAAGTCGCGCAGATTTTTTGGCATGATCTAACCGGGACAGGCACCCTGATGAATTCATGGATTACAACTGCACCTATCGGGGAGTGCATGATTGGGAGCAAAGGCGTTCTATGTCAGCAATAACGGTTGGTCTCAAAACAACAGCAGTGGCTTAGACCAGGTCCCACACTTCGGTCGACACGGGTATTGGCGACACCTGGGCCGCACCCTCTGAATCGATGTTTCTGCTGCAATTGTAGACATAGGCGACATGGCTCGATGAGTGAGGCTTGAAATGTGAAACGTGACTACTCCCGAGGATGTTGAAGGTTCGGCAATTGATATGCCGTCGGCTCGATTGATGTGACGGTTCAGACACACCCCGCATCTGAACAAGGGTAGGGGCGCCCACTTTCCGATGGCCGGAAGCCTCGATGCGCTTTGAACTACCTGCTCGTTTTTTCCCACATTTCCGTTCCTCAGTTCTTGAATTATGTCAGTCGAGATAGCGGTGACCCCAACGAATGCGCGACCCTCGAAACGTAAGCGGACTTCCGATGCGTCAATTGGTGGGCTTCAGTGTCAAGTCTGCCACCGATCATACGAACGTGCCGACCACTTGAACCGACATCTAGACTCACGTGAGTTTCGCTCACCGTTGGCCATCACTCAGCGAAATCCTAACGATGCACAGACCGCAACGAGAGGTCGTTTCATTGTGAGGAGTGCCCTGCAGCGTTCAACCGAAGGGACCTGCTACTCAGGCATCAAGCAACTCACACAAAGAATGCTAAAGATGGGCTCGTAGGCCCATATCGCGTAGCAGAACGTGCCACGAAGGCCTGTAACTCCTGTGTCGTATCAAAAGTCAAATGCGACAATGGAAGACCATGCAAACGGTGCCAAAAGAAAAGCCTACAATGCCTGACAAAGTCGCCCGATCCGTCACCGCTCGCTCAAGCAGGTGTAGAAGAACAGTCAGCGCAAGTGTTTGCAGCATCTGTTGAAGAGCAAAACAACCCATACCAATTCGACGATGACATACAGATGAACAATGTCTACCTCAACGAGACCAATACTGAGGCGCAAGCTCTACTCGATCTGTACAACACCACTGGTTATACCCAGCATACCATCCCGGCCTTTTTCGAACAGATCATGGTTCCCGCACCAGACTTCTTGGGTAGTGACTACATGCAACCGCCTCCAGATCTGACAGCATGGATGCCAGAGACTGACTGGCTTGGTCAGGTTGACATTTTTGGCAATGATTTCACTCCAACTGTCAGTCAGATGCTAGAAGCGCAGACATCGCAGGTGACTGCCTTGCCTTCTGCAACGCCGCCTATCAATACAGATGTTTCTCACGAGAAGATTGATAGCAACTCCGCGAAAAGGCGCCATGCAGTCTTCAAACAATCTGCCTGGTAAGCCACACTGACGAATAGACCAATCAGCGCTGACCCACCCTAGGTACTGGATCCCCGAGCGTAACCAGCACGCTTTCAGCGAGCACGAAAACATCGCTCTGGACGAGCGCAACGTAGACCTTGCCTCGTCACCACACATGCCATATTCTTCCAACGTTGTGATCCCAGATAAGCTTTCGCCGGCAGCCCGTGACCGCATCTTCCAATTGGTGTCGAAGACTGCACAGAGCCATATCACCATCCCTTCTTTCCCTTCGGCAGAGTGCGTCGACAAACTGATCAAGGTTGGGATTGCAAAAAGAACTGAGACAGATGCATGGATCCATCCGTATACCTTCGAAAGCGAGACTGCCCGGCCTGAATATCTCACTGCCTTGGTGGCAGCTGGATGTGTATGTTTTGGCGTACTCTCGGTGAGCAGGACAGGCTTGGCGCTACAGGAGATAGTCCGAGTCGCGTTGAACAGGCTGGTAAGTCTTTTGCAAATACCAGGCCTAACACCAAGTCGAAGGATGTCTAATACGTCTCCAGTCCGAGAATGATAACAGTGTGTTACGCGACCTTGAATATCTCCAAGCTTCGATGCTTTGGCTTGATATCGGGGCATTCTGTGGGTACAGGAGGAAGATGGAAATCGCGGAGAGTAGCTTACAATCTCTTGTTACGGTAAGAAGCTCTGGTATGATCATCTAACGCACGCTGAAGGTATAGGCACTGCGGCGCGCTGGCAGATTCGATCACATCCGGTATCCTGCAGTTACACCATCTGCAGAGGATGGCGACGAGGAACTACATGCAAAGTGGAAGCAGTGGGTGGAGCAAGAATCTTACAAGAGGTATGACAGGCACAGTGGACTCTCTTTACCCAGCATCTAAAACAGACAGGTTGGTATATCACTTGTTCGAGCACGACATCCACATGACCATGGCGAAGCATCGCCCGCCACTTATCAGCTACGCTGAACTTACGCTTATGTTGCCTGCCTCGAAGACCCTGTGGTTGGCACCTTCAGCAGAGACATGGCGAATGCGCTATCTTGACATGGACGTCGTCGCCAGCGCTCCCTCACTGCAAACACTTCTGAAAGACGAAGCTGCCATACACTGTCTTCCTGCCACCATCGACATGCAGGTCGCTCACTCATCCTATCTGCATGGCATTGCTGCTCAGATTTGGGAGTACGGACAGCAATCTGCACTGATGAATGAGAGCAGCGACGCCGCTTCACAGCTCTGGGCTCGATCTCGTCAGGAAAAACTGTTGGTATATCTTCTCACATGGTTGATGAAGCTGACACTGCTCCGCAGATACCAGTATCTTCAACGCGAAGACCTTCTACCCAGCAAACATCCAGCAGTGACCTGTCTTTTCCACCAATTCTTGCAGATGTACCTCCACGTCAATCTCGACCTAATCACGCGCTTCGCCGGCAAATGCGGTGAAAGCGCTGCCAACAGCGCCTACACCCACCTCTCACCCTGGAGCCAAACCAAAGAAGCCAGGGTCGCGATCTGGCATGCTGGACAAGTAGTACGAGCTGCGCGACAGATCCCGCCATACCAGATCCGCGGCCCAGATTCCTTCATGTTGTACCATGCCATCATGGTCCTCTGGACATACAGCATGATGATGCGCGACTTGGCTAAGAAGACCGGTACTACGACGCCAATGCGCACACGGCCGAGTTCGCTTCCGGGCAAGGTTATTTACCTCGATGATGCCGCCTCTGATAATCAGGCTAGTGTTGTTAATGCCTTTATTGCTACGAATAGCGGCATACCGTGTCTTCGCATCATCTCGACGCACCAACCAGTGGCATCAGAGTCTGGAGCGGTTGCTCGGCCCGAAATCTGTAACCTCAAGTTTCCTTCGCAGGTTATGAAGGTGGGCGTTATGCTTCTTGAATCCACACACCCGGATGTGGATCGTGAGACTGGGCCGCCTCTTGTAAGGGCGCTTTGTGGATTAATGGAAGAACTTGGGGGTCTGAGATGAGAGGACTTGGTATGTTCGATTGCAATTGCAGGGCTCAACGATTACAATCTCGATGGCTGTCATTCCACATTTCCTTGTCAGTCAGCACTGTGCTGGCGCACACCTTGATCAAAAGTCGGGGGTCGGGCAGCGTAGTCAAATCAGCGCATTGCAACGAAGAAACAGAGACACTGATCAAAGAGCGATTAAAATGTATTTCGTGATCTCATAAGCCCGAGCACTTCGCGCTAGACCCTTCCATTCCACAGTACCAAGAAAGCAAAAACATGCTTCGACTCAACACCCCCAGACCCATCGGGTAGCCACCGGAAGTCCGATACAGTCCAAAGCCCGCGTAACCATCAGAACCGCCGTTCGCCGACGGCATTCATGACAGCGTATGTACACCCTACTTAAGCCTTGTTAGAGCCGCGCTTTGAGCCACTCGCAAGATCGGCAAGATCCTCCATAAGGTCATTCCAGATCTGCTTTACCATACCCTCACCCTCCTCACGGGTCGAGGTAAATTTGCTGGCGACAGCCTCAGCGATGCCCTGGTAGCCAGACTGGTTTGTGTCGGTCACTTCGGCCATTGCGGAAGGGGAGTGGATGTGGGTGCCGTCAGCAGAGACGGTGTAGATTGTGGGCTGCATGGGGATCTAGAAAGCCATGTCATTAGCACTCTTGCGCAACAAGCAGAAAACATGAATTGGGATAAGGCTTACGGAATCCTCGCTCTCAGCACCCCGGCTGGCAACGTTGGCCCATGGGATGATAGGGACTCTGATACCCATGGGCGCGCTTCGGCTCTCCAGGTCAAACTCCGGGAAGTGCATAAAGTCCAGGGTACTGGAATCGCCAACGGACTTTAAGCTCCTCGATGTGTTAAAGCGGCGGACTTTGTTGCCGGTCTCGGTAGCCTCGGGGACGGGAATGGTTTGCTCGCCGTGGAGGCGGATGGGTCCAGCTGAACGATTTGAGGCATACGGCTTGTCGGTTGTGAGGAGCGAGGAAGAGGCAGTCGAACCTGTCATTGACAGCTGGCGGACTGTGAGACGAGGGCCTAGAAGGCGGGGGCCGGCGAGGGCGCTGATGATGCGAACGCTAGGTTTTGAGGCGGCCATTGCGAAGGTATGTGTGTAGTGTTGAGGTATAGGGAAGATGGTGTGAACGAAACGCAAGTGCGCGCGGAGAGGAAGAAGTAGTAGTATGCGAAAGAAGCAAGACGAGCAATTAGTGGTAGATTATAAGACGATAAGGTTTCCGTGACGCAAGATAATGCGAACGTCAGCAAGCTTTCGGAAGGCGGCGGGCAAATGGGATGGAAGCGCTATCGATCGAACCGGTAGACAGGAACAGGTGTTGAGAGGACAGGACTTGAACAGCTGAGCTCGCGACACAGTGAGGGGAAGCTCTCCCTTTTCTAAGCCCTCGAGCCTCACAACACACAGCAGCAGCGACCACTCTTCGGATTCCTTGGCCTGCGTTCTGGATTCGCGACAGAGAGCGGTCAGTGAGCTGTGCTGTACAACGACTCAGGACACCCTCGTGGATTTGTTCACTTCATAACGAGTGGGCTCATCGGGGATGCAGCGTTGGACTCCGTGGTGCTTAGTGGATGGGGGGCTTGCTGGGAGGGAGCTTGGGCCGCGTGCTATACTGCTTGTGGCACAAGGGCTGGCCCGAACCAATGGAAGGGACCCACTCTAGCATGCCCAGCACGTCTCCCCCGCACTTTTGATCATGGTCGCAGCGTGCTCGAATAAACCGTCTGATGTCTTGATTACGACAAGGGCACTCGATTGAAGTGAAAATGTGATAGTCGTTGAACGCCTAAGCACAGCATGTCCGTTCGCGATGCCGTTCACCTTGAACGCAACGGCGCCAAAATGTCGGTGTAGCAGTTGTTGAGCGCACAGTTGCAGGGGGGATCGCCATAGGTTTAGCGATGTCGGCTCCCTCCCGTCACCATGCACAGGACGTACAGTTGTGCCTGTATGATCGGCTCTCCACCCACTGCGCATAAGCTTCGGTGACACTTTACTGGGCAAATGAGGCGTGCGATAAGGAGATGCGCCCAGCCCTATTCTGTTTTACCAAGACGTCAAGATCGGGGTCTTGTGATGTCTGCATGCCGACCTTGCATGTATATACGATGCAATCTGATTGTGGTGGTGTTGTGCTGGGCAGTCTGCATCTCGATGTCGTGCTGGGTCTGCGGCTTGATCTTGCTATCCGCGCGATCAATGTTTTGCAGCACAGACGGTCAAGGTCGACCAGAAGTTCGAGATTTCTTTCGCAAAGTCTTCCCAAAGGAGTAAAGTGAGGCTGTGAATTCCATGATTAGAAGCGTCCCACCCTGACTAAGATATACCACTGCCCCACTGCGCACCATGTCCACGTACCAAATCTGCACCAGCCGCCTCAAACCAACATTCCCACGCGACTCCATTTACCCAGTGACTTTCCTGGCGTCTTCGCAATGTATTTCCAAGGGTTTTTGCCAAGTACTAGTACCACTTACTTTCGAAATTTGTCATCAACAAGACAAAAGTCGGCCTGATGGTCTAGTGGTATGATTGTCGCTTCGGGAAAATTATCCTGGATACAGAGTATCTGTTATGTGACAGGCCCCGGGTGTAAGTTATCATAGCCTTGAATTTGTGAAGTTTAGAATCTAACGTTTGTAAAGTCGAATCCCGGTCAGGCCCACTCTCCTTTTTTGCTCTCGCAGATTCCCTAGGAATTCCGTACTTTTTGCGTGATTGTCTGCATCTTTTTTCTACAACTATTTGTATACTCTAATATTAGGATTCTCTTTTTACATGCTACTTTTTGCTCTGTATGTGTGCAGCCTTCGGACGCGAAGGGAATCACGCATATAACTCAGGGAAAAGCTGACAACGAGCATCTTCGCATCTTCCCTGAGTGTCTTAAGAAAGATATAGCAGAAACCAATATCATGACGATAAATCCTACAATTTGCGTATCTATATGCGCCTCTGCAAAGCAGAAGCCTACGAAACGCCCGTTCAGGAACGAGCCTAGAAACTCTCGTGTGCTTGCTTTCACAAACACGCGGTGCAGGAACACAAGCGAACACACGTTGGTAGCCATGCTCGATCAGAATAGCAATCACATAAAATCTTCGTCTGGCGGCCCGTATTGCATGATTAGAGTCACATACATCAATACAATCCCCAGCGTAGCCAAGGCACCAGTCAAATCACATCTCAAAGAACCAAAGATCAGAGTGTAAGCTCGAAGCTGCATTTCGTGTGGTATATACTTCCGTCTAAATAGATCACTAAACGCCACCAAGCAAAACTAGCAGCAAGCAGGCGTCGAGGCCCATCTCCAAAACAAAACTCCCTGATAGTCTCCAATCCGGGGGTATCAACGACCCTTGGGCGCGTACGAAAGCAATGAAAGTGGTATCCAAACAAAGGAACATGAAGTGACAGAAGGGCACAGGCGCATATGGTTCGTAGAAACAAGTCGTGAATGCGTTACAGAATCGTAAAGAGATGAGGGCCGCCAGAGAAAGCAGAGCGTGAAGAAGAACGGTTACCGTCCGTCGTACGAGTCGCTCACCCACCCGCTGTTATTTCCACCAGCGTACATGGGCTGTTGACCGCCCTGCTGGTAGTCGCTCTCTTCTTCAAAGTACTCGCCTCCACTAGAAGCATCGAAGCTGCTGCGACCGCTAATATCGCCGTCGTCGTCTGGCGGCCCGGCTGGGAGCTGATCCCACTGAATGCCCGCGAGTGCTGGGTACTGAGCGAGAATGGCAGCGGGCAGGAATGGCTGTGGGGCTTGCATGCCACCAGCCTGAGGGAACGACTCGAAGCCAGTTTGCCCGGGCATCATACCGCCAAAGTTTTGAGCTGGCATTGGTGCGAACATGCCATTGCCATTATTCAGCTGCTGGTTCTGGCCATCCCATTCACCCTTCTCGCGCGCCTCCTCTTCGAGTAGCGGACGGATACACACGCGGCCTGCCTCGGATCGGAAGTGACGTCCAAGAGCATCTGCACGGGCGAATCGCCGACCGCAGCCCCAGTTGTTGCCATTCTTGAGATTGCCACGGCAGACAAACTTCTTCTCGCCCGAATGGAGACCTTCATGTCGCTTGCGATCGTGCTGGCGCGCAAAGGCTTTGCCACAGACACTGCAGACGAACGGACGCTCGTCCGTATGTGTGCGCAGATGCGATCGGAGGTTGTAGGCTCGAGTGAAGCGCTTTGGACACAGCGTGCATTGGAAGGTTGCCGGATGCTTCTGGGTGCGCTTTGGGTTGGAGCCATCCGCGGGCGCAGGTCGCGACGGATCTGCAAGATCCAAGATGTAGTCGCGATTGGGTACGCTTGATGTAGAAGAACGGCGCGAGGATTTATTCGAGGGCGAAGGAGAACGAGACTTTGCAGCGTGGGGGGAAAGTGAGCGGTTCACGTCCGAGCCTGGTGTTGATGCGCGCGAGCTAGCACTGCTGAAGGGATCGGATCTGGCGCGAGTTCTGTTCCGGCTGCGTGCTGTTTCGCTGTTAGGGATGGTTGGTAGGTTTCATTGGACTGCTTACATCTGTCTGGCGGGCTCAGCGCATCTATTTGATGTTCGGGCTTGGGTGGCTCAAAGCTTGCCTGCCGTGAAGGCGGTGCGAAGTCAATGTTGATTTCCGGCGGCGACATGGCGTCGGCCTGACCGAACTCAGGCACAGGCTGGTTCAGTGATGGGAACGGCTCAGCTTGACCTGGGTAGCTATTCATGTCTGGAGGCGCATACGGATTCATGTTCTGGGTGAGACCAAAACTTTCGGGCTGGAATTGCGGAAGGACTTGTTGATTCGTCGGAAGCAGACGAGGCGAGATGTGAGGGCTGTTACCCGCGCTCATGTGCGCATTGCTGCTGTTCAGGTTGAATCGGTCGAATCCTGGGACAGGGTCCTGGAACAGCTGGGGGTCGTTCTGGGCGTTGATGAGGGGTGATGGCTGCTCATTGTCCAAGCTGTCCTGGTGGTGCAGGTACGGCGAGTTGTGCACCGACGATGCGTGTACAGAGGACGCAGCATCGCTGTTGCCCCTAGACCTAGACCTGTGCTGGCCAAACCCGCCCGCCATCTGCCCCCATTCCGTAATCTGACCGTAGGCTGCGCTGGGGTCTAACGACGTGTGTCGCGAATGGCCGGGTGATCTGAAGGGGCCTTGGTTCAGGTTCGGCGAAGCATGTGGGCTCGGAGAATGATGGTTATTCATGTTGGGCAGCAGGTGCGGCGGGGTAGGCGCGTTGTGCTGTGTGGCTGCCATCTGGTGCATAAGATCGGAAGGGTCGATGGACTGGTTGTGTTGCGACTGGCTATCGAGCATGTGCGGGTCAAGCGTGTTGCCAAGATACGACGGCAGCGATTGGTTCTGGCCGAGGTCGTTGGCCTGGAAGAAGTTGGCGTAGTCGGCGTTGGTGGAGTTGGCGATGTCGAGTGGGTCGGGCGAGATGTTGCTGCCTTGGGGGCCGAATTGCGGAGTGTTGTGCTGCGAAATGTTCTGCGCAGCTTGGAAGAAAGCTGGGTCGGCAAAGGTGTTCTGCTGGGGGAATGGCTGGCCTTGGGTGGTGGTGAGGAAGTGCGTGTTGTTTAGCCCCGCGCTGGTGACGGCGTACGAGGATGGGTCTTGAGCAGGATCGAAGCCCAGGCCGACGTTGTGCTGGTGCTGGAAGGGCGCATGTGGGCTGGGCGAGGGAGAGTGCGCCTTATGAATGCGCTGGCCGACTGAGGGAGAGCGCCCTCGCTGTTGGATGTCCATGATGTAGGTACTGGATTCGCGTGTGCCCAAGAATAGGTGGGATGTGGAGGAGGGAGCCCTGGAGGCCGCGCTTGGGCCAACGTGGAGAGTTTCGTAGACACCAAGAATTTAGGGCCGGCTGTGAGTGGTCGAATATCCTCCAGGTACACGCAATGTCGTCGGGTTACTGGCTTGTCTGCTGAGGCTGGTGAGTGTGAAGGAGGCGCAGTGTAGTCGTCGGTCGCAGGACACAGCCCACCTCACGAAGAGCGACGGCGCTGGAAGCGGCCTAGTCCGCTATAATTAGCCCCGCAATGGGAGAGCCCGCTGCAAAGTTCCTTGTGTGTTCCTTGGTTTCAGACTCTTGAGAGACGTGAAACCACGAGCTAGGGGATGCGTTATGCGTTGTTCTTCTGCCCGCCGGTGATGACGTCGGGAGCAACGCGGGCGAGGGAGCTGGACGTGGGCGGTAGCAATGGCGACAAGCAAGCGCGGCTGCGAGTCCCTGGGAGATACGCGCTGGCCGACGTGGATCGTTGTCGCGTGATAGTCGCAAAGCAATTCGCGGGTTTAGGTTCGGTGGAATAGAGCTGACCGCTACTGGCATCCGGTCTTGGGGAATCACTGTGTACAACTGCCCACTCCGCCCCAGCCTTATACAACGACTTAGCTTGCGCATATTCACGCGGGCCGTCCATTGGTGAAGCGTCTAATAGCCGGCTACGGCGGGCGGTCGACGACACCGCTTGAGAACATCAAAGTGATGCCGAGCCGTCACAAAACGTTCGAATCACATCCTCGGCGACCAATCCGACGGGCAACACTACTGGCCCAATTTCACACACCGCGCGATTCTTTGGCGCGAAGGCCATTCGGCGAGCCGTCGCGTCCCTGAGGTCATTACCCGTAGGCCCACTGAGCGTTCTCTGCACTGCCTCGCTCGAACCAACGTCGCAAGGCGCACTTTCTCAAGGCGTACTCCCATGTCCCCACAAACCAAGCCCTCGCTCCTATGCTCGACAACGTTGTGAGATGCATTACTTAGCTACGATAATAATAGCATATTTGGTCCCAATCGTGTGTTTTCGCAGAGCCGCACAAGTGCATGTGCATCGGGTCCACATCTCGACCATATACTACTTGTGCTAATAGCATGACGCTTCAGGCCACCAAATCTACCCAAACTTTAGGCCTTGTGCAGGGTCCCACCGCCCATCTTGTGGAGGACCAGCAGAAGGTCGAGCGTTCCCGGATGATGTAGGCACCCCACCAAACCGGATTCCAACTTCTGGTGTCCACATACCAGACGGCGGGGGTACATTTGCTCTCGTGGGAGTTGGGGCTGCCAGAGGTTCTTCCGCATGTGCAGTCGCACCATAATGTGGGTTTTGTGCATCTGCCGCTTTCTGCTGATGTAATGAGTTTGTTGTTGCTTGCTGGAGGCCGAGGGAGCTCATTCGAGTAGTGAGATCGCTGGGACCATTAGCACAGGCGTCGGAACTAGTCGTTGCATCTGCATACCTTTCTAGATGTGACGCTTCTGACTTGCGATTGTAAGCAAAAGTGCGCGCCTCATCCCGAAAACGATTTACGATCTTAGCTAAGTCATTGTAAAACTTTCGCCCAACGTCGAGATTCGAGATGATCTCCTTGTACTTGAAGTATGCGTTTTCTAGATTTTGCAACGCTTGCTCACGCTTTTTGGTGGATTGATCGCCACGACGAGCGATCAAAAACGCCGCGTTTGCGTCTTGCAGCCGCTTGATAGCTTCGGCCTGCTCCTTCTCTTCTTCTTGGATCATATCTTGGTCGGCATCGTACATCTGAAGACGCTTGTCGAAAAGCCCTTCAAACTGCACAGCCTCGATTGTCTGCATAGGGTACTCCCGTTCTAAGCGAGCAGCTTCGCGCAACAGCTCCGGATCTAGCCTGCTGTCAGGATAGGGCTTGTGTAGGGATGCGCGGGACTTACTTATGTCGTCTTGCTTCGCCTTTGTGCGCAAGGCCTCAATCTTCCGCCGTCGCCTACTCTCGAGCCTGCTGACTTCATTGAAGCTGCCACGAAGCTTGCCGGCCTCGCGCTCGACATCACCAGTGATGGCAGGTCTCCGGCCGCTCGGGACATAGTTTTCGAGTTCGTGATCTGGTCCACTGAGCAGTCGTATGAAGTGCTCATTCTCCTTCAACTTCGTCTTTACAATATTATCACTGTTAGTAGCAGCCTTGAAGTAGCCGTCGATTTCGTTGATCTGGGCATAGAGCTTAGGCGCTGCTTGCTCTGCAGGTGGTCGTGTCCAGCGTTCTGTGCCAAACTTGCGTCGTGCGCCTTCGTCCTCTGTCGCTTCGGACCTCAGGATATCGACACCTTCTTGATATATAGCCTGGTCGGTGTACATGAGCTTTTTCGTATCCTCCATTGAGCGCAAGAGACGGTTGATGCCATCTTGTTGACGGATCTCCTCAGCGTGTGCGACAAGACCAGGGGGAAGTCCTAGTGGCTTCTCAAGAGCCTGCAAGGAGCCAGGCAGGTTTAAGCTGCGTAGTACCTCGTGAATCTTATTTGTCAATGACTCTAGCTCTTCTACGATGGTACCATTGACTAATCGATCTCGGCGGTCTACGTAGATGCTAGCAGCCAGATGTACTGAGTACGGCACCAGCTTGGAGAAGAGTGCTGGGCCAAGCTCGCCGCGTTCTCCCAGCATCGAATTGGACTCGGCTATCTCCTTGGGAACTCTCGAGACTACCATGTTGGCCCGATCGAGGATTTTAAGCTCTGCCTTTGGTGGTACAGGTAGCAGGTAGATCATGTCATTGTCCTTCTCGGCCCGCTTCAGGTCCTCCGTTATCCGGTTCTTCAAGCCATTGAGATCTGCAAGCACAACTTTGTTGATGTAGCGCTGCTCCTTGAGGGCCTCGTTGACGCACGTAAGGCTGTCGCGTAGCCGCGCAACCTCCTCGCCATACTTGCGCTTCTCGAGAGAATCGCAGGCTGCGCGGTATTGTGCAGCAGCCGCAAAGTGGTGGTGTTTCGCCGTCATATGATGTATCCACTCGCTGCTGATAGCGTCCGATTGTATGCCTGCGTCTCCCGCCTCGTTGTATAGATCGGATACGCGGGCGGCTAGTTTGGCGATGGTCGCGTCTTTCATCCCGTCCTTGACAGCCTTCTGCCAGAAGCACTCCTGTCCTTGAGCCAGCATGAGCTTTTCCAAGCACTCGAGGGTCATGAGGTCCATGTCTTCGGGTGGCTCTGTCCGCAGCTCCGGCAGAATAGTATTCCTCAAGTGCGACAAGACTCCGGCTGCGAGGCAAAAGTTGTTGGCTGCCATCTTCAGCCCGTCTGGTGTGCTCCGGTTCGACGACATGGCCAGCTGGGAGTACATGGCCGCGAGGTTGAACATGATGTTTGCGAGTTCGAAGCGGAGGTTGTTGCGCGATGTCGGGCGGCTCGTGTTGTATCCCAGCGCAGGATACCAGGGAAACTCTACGCCGATGTCGATGGGGAACTTTCCGCTCAGCCATATCAGCTGGGCGGCGTACTGCTGCAGCTTCGGGATGTTGCTCGGGTGGGGTTCTTGGGCGTGGGTGGCGACGGACCGCAGCTTCTCGATAGTCTCGAGGTCTTTGGTGAACATGTCGGGATGCTGGTCATATTTGGAGGATATGTACTGCTTGATGGCGTCGGTGAGATTCACAGAGTGCGAGCGCCGGAACGGGAGGAACAGGATATTGCTGGCCATAGTGCGGGTTGTGTCGTCTGCTGGCTGGCTGCTGTACTCAAAGTCATGGGCAAGAAATGTTTGGCCGTGTTTACGGGCGGCAGTGGGCGACGTCACCGCCCAACCGCCTGGGCGTGTGAGGGATGCAGCTTGAGCCCCGCGCTAGCCAACGTGGGGCGGGCGCGGCCTCAGGGTTCAGCAATTCACCTGCAGGAACGGGCTCAGCACATGCGAGACTTCCAAGTTGGACATGGCAATTTACGGGTCGCGGCATCCAAGACACCGTGTCCCCATGTCAGAACATCGATGAGGACACCTAATTGTCTGCTTGCGAACCCCCACTGAGCATGTTTCATGCCACAAAGTATCGCCATGTCAAACGAGACACGGACATTGTACATACATGGCTGAGGCGCGCGCGGTTCCACAACCCGGAAATGTCGTGATGGAGGCTCAATCTGTCAGCGGGGCGCGACGGCAATCTATAACAATCTAGCCGAATTGCACCACCATCTTGAAACTTGCTCATCCGCTCCTCGCAACGTCCTTCCGCTAGTCATACCTATATATACTAGTCACAGCTCCTCTCTTCGCGGTTATCAAACAAACACAACCACGCCACATCGAAGCCCCGCGACCCGCACTGAACCTCCAACTTTCTTACCAACACCACCTACAACCTCCTACACAATGACGCACACCTACAAGTTCAACGTTGCCATGAGCTGCGGCGGCTGCTCTGGCGCTATCGAGCGCGTCCTCAAGAAGCTCGAGGGTCAGTTTCCGATGCAGCACGCGCCGGCGGTCCAGGCATCACGTTCTAACTACTCGACAGGTGTTGAGTCGTACAACGTCTCGCTCGAGAACCAGACCGCCGAGATCACCGCCGCCGATTCGCTATCCTACGACACCGTCCTCGAGAAGATCAAGAAGACTGGCAAGACCGTCAAGTCCGGCGAGGCTGACGGTGAGGCCAAGGACATCTAGAGAGTGCAACGTAGCGTGCATCTACGACAACCTTTTTCTATATTGTTTTTGGGTCAACGAGCGATGGATTTCACGGCTGTGTTTGCGCGCACGCTCTGACTTTGAGCTACCGCCACGGCCCTCTACATCTGGTGCGATTTTGTAGATGCAGCGAATAAATGAAGAATACCCTCCCACCCTAAATCCACACCTGACTATGTGAAATACCAGAGTCGCTTTCTAGCGCGATGCAGGTCAAGACACCAACAATGTAGCACGTTCGAATCGTTTCAGGGAGGTCCGATAGAGTCAAGAGCGGTGCACATGCGCCATCACAGTCCCCAGCGTCGCGGCATCTCGGTGTTCCACCAGATTGCTCCTGCCCCAAGCGGCGCGCAGACGTCACATGCCACGAGCTGAAGCCGGGTCGCCACGCATCATCTCTCAGCCACCGTATCCGCGCTCCCCCATTACAATTCCCATTGCTATCTTGGTCACAACAAATCTCCGGCACTGATGTAATTCCGCAACAGCTGACCAGCAAAATCTGGTGCCTGAGCCTTAAGGCGCTCCGCCGGACCTCTTAGCCTTGAGCTCAATCTGAACGTCCTCCGACTTCTTCCTTTAACTCCGCTCACAGCCACCGTCTAATCATCTTGGAGGTGTTTCAATGCGTTCAAGTGCTTATCCGCGTTTTCGGCGCTCCCGTTACGCGTGCCGCTTACCGAACGCGTTCGTCCACTGGCATGGATGCGAATTGCGATGCCTAGTCTCTCATCACGGCAGTCTGCGAGGTGAAGAACAGGCAGCTACATCTACATTGGAGTGACTATAGGCGATACACGTATTCAACTTGATTCGAACGCAAAGCGATATGGGCCTGTGTACGCCTTGTTGCACGATAGGATTCTGGTCGGGAGCAGTCGGTCACGAACGGCTTCTAACCGGACTGAGTCAGCGAGCTTCCAAGGGCACCAAGGGGCTGAGCCGCACCTCATTAATGCAGATCATCTTACAGTGGGGGATGCGTATCCGTATGACGCTTGACAATACTCTTGCCCTGTCCATTGCTACCTTGGTTTCAGGGATTTAGAGGGCTGACGGCCTGGAGTGTATAAAGCCATCCTGAGGCCGCACGGTAACATTACCATACATACCAGCTCATACGAGCATAACACCTGTTCATCATTCAACTTCAATCTCCACTCCCTCATACCGACCGTCACGTCTCCCCATGCCGTCTCCACCAAGAAGCGCAATATCCTTCCCAAGCCAAGCCGACCTCTTCTACTTCTGCACCACCTCCTCAACCTCCTCCGAAGACCTCAACATCCACTACGCCCCTCCCTCAAAATCCTCATTACGCATCGGCGTGCTAGTCCTCAGCACCTCCCAAATCCAACTAGCGGACCTAGCCGCCCTCGACCTCCTCGCCATGGTCGGGCGCAACAGAATCAGCAGAATGCAGCCCACGGCCTCCGCCCTCGACTCCGCCGTGGACGAAATCGACATTCGTTATGTCAGTGTGACGGGTGAGGGCAGTTTTCCTGTCACGGCTGGCACAAGAATGCCGGTGACGGTGAGCTAAAGCTTCGAATTGCTGCGTTATCGAATACATGGATCGACACGACACACCCAACCCATCTATCTATCCATCCATACCCTTCCAAACAGCCATCTCCTCTGGCCAAGAAGAGCCAACCCTTTTTGGTCGATGCTGGATTCGCCTGGTCTTGACTGCACTTTTATAAGTAGTCATCTCTGACAAGTCTGGCAGGGAGGTAAAGGTCAACAACGAGCCCCTTGCCCTCTATTCGCCCAACTTTCTTTTCCTGCGCACTGTAACTGACGTTTACCTTAGAACTCATTCACCAACGCCCCCGAATTCGACATCCTCGTCATCCCCGGCTCCTTCTCACCAACCACATTACCGGTAGAAGCTACCTCCTTCCTCACCGCTCAATGCCTAAACCCCCATCTCATCGCCATCATGAGCATAGCCTCTGGAATCACTCCGCTCGTCCAAACGGGTATCTTACACGGCACGCGAGCCGCAGCACCTAGATCGCTACTTCCTTTGCTGCAGCAACGGTATCCCGACACGCTGTGGCAGCATGGCTCCTGGGCCCGCCACGAAAAAGTGTGGTCGAGCAACTCGGCCGTTTCGGCTCTCGATATGGTGTCGACGTGGATGCGCGAGTACTTTTGGGATAGGAGCGAGACGGTTGACTTTGCGCTTACGGCTGCGGGTATGGGCTCGCTTTATGACTATGATCATTGTGATTATTGAGGGGTTGGTGGGGATGCGTTGGCATTGGATGGCGTTCTTTTGGATGGAATCTCAGCTCTGTATAACAAGGGCACTGTTTTTTTGGCAAGAGTGGGGCGTTCTTGAAATGCCATAGAGATTTTTTTAGGGATTTTGCTGCAGACATGCAAGTGAAATCTTGACCTGGCTTACATGCCGGTTTGTTGTAGCCCTGAAAGCCATGAAAGTGTCATCCCCTTCGTACTCGGGGACTTGTTCATGTCTGATTCATTCCATGATCATTCCGACAAGTTCCCAAGCCCGAATCCCCTTACCCAAAACCATGCATAGCCATAGCCATAGCCCTAGCTTGGTCTTCGTTCCGCCAAGCACTCTCCTTGACCTTCTTCTCCCGCCTGAGCTCCACCGTAGAATCAGTGCTAAAACTCGATCGAATGTGTGCTTCATCAGAACTAGGCCTGTTGTCCCCTCCGTCTCCATGGGTGCTGTTGACTGCAGCTATAGCTTCGTGTGTAACTTGACCCAAACTGAGATGCATGGACGACATAAGTAGGGCGTCTATATCGGTGCTATCGATTGTTTCGTCGCCACTATCCAGACTCATTGCTGCTGACGTGAGGCGGTGATGGTGTGATGCCAGACTGCTTGCTTCGCCATGCGTGGAACGTAGTTCGGAAGTGATGCTACCGTCGCCGCCTCGCATGTTGATGACGGAATGAGGGATTGCATCAGTCTGTGCGCGGATGCCTTGTAGCCAGGCCATCGTTGTGGCATCTACCGTTTTGTGGTCATAGTAGGTGTTGAGACGTGAGTGGTACGGATATCCCAGTGCAGGGTTGAATGGTAGGACCTCTCCATCGCGGCGACGGACATATAGCTTTCCCTCGCGATCTGGTGGACCGAATCTTGTTTGCGGTGTACCTGCTGCGTCGCTAGGCGTGAAGGCGGGTTCCGGCTGGTGGTATGCAGAAGACTTGGACATATGAACGATGGGAGGCTCAGCGGCTCGCGCTAGAGCTCTTGGTGAGGGCGAACGTGCGCGAGGAGGGTGTTGAAGCCGTGTAGCACCTTTTGACCGAGCTGTGTCTTGGGACGCAAAATCGATGACTTGAGTGTCTCCAGCGGATGTCTCCTCATCTGTTTTTCGTCCCCACCTCCCTCTACGTTTCTTGCTCTCCACCTTCTCGACTTTCTTCGCTCTTCTGCCTCTTGGATGCTCCCAGCCCCTGCTGTCCGACTTCTTCACATCGTCTCCACTAGTCTGCGGCCGATCGCGGCTAAAAATAGTCCTTTGCTGTGGCGCCTGAGTTGACATGAACATCCCATGGTTTGCCGTAGAGGCTTTTCCACTTCTCGGCCATCCAGTGGCATCGGCGCTCATTCCTGATTGCTTTACTGGAGGTTGTCGCTCTGAATACGTCTTGTACTTGGGATCTGAAGGAGCAGCGAGGATCAGGCGTGTGAGTTTTCCTGCCTTGGAGAGGACTGTTTGCAAAGAGTGCTTGCGCTTGATTGAAGCTGGCTCAAAGGCTGCCGGGGCTGGCACAACAGAGGGGTAGCCAATTGTGTGAACCCGGTCGCTTTGCTGTTGGGGAATGGCCCGAGGTTTAGGTGTGATAGGCCCATGACGAGGTAGATATTGCGAAGGTGTCGGTGAACTGGTAGGGCGATACTCGTCAATAGCTGCCGGGCGCTCCGAGTCATGCCACCTCTCGACTTGCTGGCGTCGCATTACTGCAGTGACGCTGTCGTCCGGTGAGATAGTGTCCAGATCAGGCTCTCGCGA